GAAATGTCCCCAGGGACGGGGGGACACCGAGCTCGGCCCGGGGACCCCAAAGGATGCTCGAGGTGGGGCCACTTTATTATAAATATTAATTTTATTTTCATTTTTTCCCTTTTTTTTTGGTTTTTGTTCTTTTTTGGTTTTTTTTTCCTGCGTCTTTCTATATATTCTATTAAAGAGATTCTTTATCTTCAAGAACTCGCAAAGGTTTCAGCGGCTTTTATGTGTTTTTTCCAATTTTTTTTTTTTTTTTGGTGAGGATTTTCTCGGGGTTGGGGAGGAAAAGGAGCGAGGAAAGAAAGAGAGAGAGAAAAAAATTATAAAGAAATATATTAAAAAAATAAATAAAGCACAGAAAAGACATTCCATAGATTGTAACTTTGATAGTTCTTTATAAAGTGGGGGGAGATGAGGAAAAAAAAAATAAAAACTATGACAAAAAACGACAAAAAAAATTTAAAATAATAAAAATTGCACTTTGGGGGGGGGCTTTAAAATAAATTAAAAAAAAAAAAAAAAAAAAAAGAGAGAAATAAACTATATATTAAAAATACACCCGGAGCCCGCTGGATTTCTTGGGGGAGGAAAGGATGGAGGAGCACCGGCTCTTTTTTGGGGTGTCCCCCTAATTTTTTTGGGGGGGTTTTAATGATTTTGGGTTTTTTTTTTGATGGTTTTGGGGTTGGGAAGCCCCAGGCAAGGGGAGAAGGGCAGGGGCTGGCGGTTCTCTGGGGTTTTGGGGGGATTTCCTCTATTTTGGGGATGTCCAGGGCTGCACAGGGGATTTTTCGGGGGGCTCCCCCTGTTTTTGGGGTTTTCCAGGGTTGTGGGGGGGATATTTTGGGGATTTCCCTTATTCTGGGGGGTCCAGAACTGCACAGAGGATTTTTTAGGGGGGCTCCCCCTGGTTTGGGGGTTTCCAGGGTTGTGGGGGGGATATTTTTGGGATTTCCCTTATTTCGGGGGGTCTAGGACTACAGAGATTTTTTATTTTTTGGGGGGTCCCTATTTCGGGGGCTCCAGAACTGCACAGGGGATTTTTAGGGGGGCTCCCCCTATTTTGGGGGTTTTCGGAGTTGTGGGGGGGATACTTTGAGGGATTTCCCCTATTTTGGGGGTTTTCGGAGTTGTGGGGGGGATACTTTGGGGGATTTCCCCTATTTTGGGGGGTCCAGGAGGGCAAGAGGGGATTTTTGGGGGATTTTCCCCCGTTTTGGGGTGCCTGCTGCGGGGGGGGGGGGCTGTGCCTCAACCCACAGCCGTGCCTCAGTTTCCCCATGGAAAAACCGACCCCTCCCTTACAGAATAAGAGCAAAGGGGGGTCCCACCCCCCAGTCTGCCCAGTGCCCCCCTCCCCAATACCCCCGGCCCCATTAAAGCCGCTTGGGGGGGGCTGCGGGGGGCTTAGGGGACCCTAATCGCGTTTGGGGACAGATGGCCGCGGTTTAAGGAGCGTCAGGGACACATTTGGGGTGTCCCCCCCCCGGCCCCCCACTCCCCAAACCCCTTTAAACCGGGGTGACCAACTCAAAGCGGGACGAGGTGACCCCACACCTCAAAAACGCCCCAAAAACGCCCCAAAAACGCCCCAAATGGCGCAGTGCCCCCGGGGCAGCCCCCCCAAAGGGCAGGGCCGGGGTGGGGGGGATTAATTTGTGTCATAATCTGCCTTGTTCGGGGCTTTGGGGGTTTATCCCGGGATTTATGGCCGAGTCGTCTTTCTTAGCGAGACGCCCTAATGCCACTTAACACCTGGGAGCCGCGATTTTCATTAGGGGCGTCAGGGACAATTAGTAAGGGAATAATTAGGGCAGGAGCAGCCGCTGCAGGGTTTAAGCCCCATATGTGCCTGAAGGATGGGGGTGGAGGGGGGAGGATTGGGGGAACCCCGGTTTGGGGTGTCCAGTGGGGGGTTTGTGTCGGGGGGGGGATCAGTCCAAATTTGGGTTGTGCCTCAGTTTCCCCTAATGGGAAAGTCCTGTTAGGCAGTGAAGGGGAAGGGTCTCAGTGTCCCCTCGCAGTGAGGGGTGGGGGGACACGGGATGGGGACCCCAGGAATGAAAATGGACCCCCGTCCTGGTGAAATGGGGGACAGGGGGTGACCCCTGGGGGGACAGGGGGACCCCCGGAGCTGCCCCTCGGTCCCGGGGGGTCACAGGAAGGGGCCCCGGGGCAGCGGGAGCCGCCCCCAGCCCCAGCGCGGCCGCTCGGGCAGGGGGCACTGGGGGGGTCCCGGGGGGCGCGGGGGGCAGCAGGGGCAGCAGCAGCCGAGGCCGTACAGGGCGTAGGGGGGGAAGCAGCCCACGGTCACCCTGCCAGGGAAACGGAGCGGGGGCTGAGTGCCCGGACACAAACCCCCTCCTCGGTGACCCCCAGAGCCCCCCTGAGCCCCAGAGCCCCCCTGAGCCCCTCTGTCCCCAGAGCCACCAGGACCCCCTAGAGCCCCCAGAGCCACCCCAGGCCCCAGAGCCCCCAAAGCCCCCTGAGCCCCCCAGAGCCCCCTGAGTCCCCTGAGCCCCCAGGCCTCCAGAGACCCCCCAGGCCTCCCAGAACCCCCAGAGACCCCCAGGCCCTTAGAGACCCCTGAACCCCCCAGGCCCTCAGAGCCCCCAGAGCCCCCCTGGCCCCCCAGAACCCCCCAGGCTCTCAGAACCCCCTGAGCCCCCAGAGCCCCCCAGGCTCTCAGAGCCCCCTGAGCCCCCAGAGACCCCCAGGCCCCTAGAGTCCCCTGAGCCCCCAGAGACCCCCAGGCCCCTAGAGTCCCCTGAGCCCCCAGGTCTCCAGAGACCCCAGAGCCCCCCTGGCCCCCCAGAACCCCCCAGGCTCTCAGAGCCCCCTGAGCCCCCAGAGCCCCCCAGGCCCCTAGAGTCCCAAGAGCCACCAGAACCCCCCAGAGCCCCCAGAGCCACCCCAGACCCCAGAGCCCCCAAAGCCCTCAGTGCCCCCAGAGCCCCCAGAGAGACCCCTGAGTCCCCTGAGCCCCCCAGGCCCCCAGAGACCCCTGAGTCCCCAGAGCCCCCCAGAGCCCCTCTGTCCCCAGAGCCACCAGAACCCCCCAGAGCCACCCCAGACCCCAGAGCCCCCAAAGCCCTCAGTGCCCGCAGAGACCCCCGGCCCCCTGACCTGCGGACGCGGCGCCGGGCTCGCCGCCGGTGGTAGTCGCCCTTGGCGAAGTCCTCCATGTTGGCGGGGTGGATGGCCCAGAAATGGCCTTTGCCATTGTCGCTGCGCCCGGCCTTGACGAAGCACTCGTTAAGGGACAGGTTGTGGCGGACGCTGTTGCGCCAGCTCTTCTCCTGTGTCCAGAGGGGTCAGTCAGGCCCGGAGGGGTCAGTCAGGCCCAGAGGGGTCAGTCAGGGCCAGAGGGGTCAGTCAGACCTTAAGGGGTCACTCAGGTCCGGAGGGGTCAGTCAGACCTTAAGGGGTCACTCAGGCCTGGAGGGGTCACTCAGGCCAAGCCCCCGGCCCCACCATGCCCACCCCACTCCCTGCAGAACCTGGCCTGGGGTCCGGTGTTCCCCCTGGGGATTGGGGTCAGCCAACACCAGCAGCTCCAAAATGAGCCCGGAGACACCGACCCCGGCAGCCCCGAGCTCCGGACAGCACTGATGGATCTCCCAATGGATCTCCTGATGGATCTCCTGATGATGGATCTCCCGATGGATCTCCCAATGGATCTCCTGATGGATCTCCTGATGGATCTCCCGATGGATCTCCCGATGGACCAGGCCCAGCAGAGCCGGGCCAGCCCCCCAGCCCAGTCCTCACCCCACAGCAGCACCACTCACCCCAAACCTGGGAAATGGGGAGAAATTCCCAGGAAACGCTCCCAGCCCAGCCCCACAACCCGTCCCTCACACACCCCACAGCAGCACCGCTCACCCCAAACCCGGGAAATCAGGGAAAATTCCCAAGAAACGTTCCCAGCCCAGCCCCACGACCCATCCCTCACCTTGTTCTTGAAGTAGGGGTAGTTGTCCATGATCCACTGGTAGATGTCGGACAGCAGCAGCTTCTTCTCGGGGGACGAGAGGATGGCAGTGGAGATGAGGGCGATGTAGGACTGCGCCGGTTTGTCCCCGGGCCCCGGGGGGCTCCGGGCCGGGGGCTCCGGGCTGGGGGCGGCCGCGGCCCCCCGGCCCCCCAGCAGGTACTCGATGGTGAAGGAGGCTCCGGGCGGGCGCCGGGGCGCAGCTGCTGTGTCCCCACTCGTGTCCCCACTCGTGTCCCCACTCGTGTCCCCCGTGTCCCCCATGGTGCAGGTGCTGCCGGCGAGTGCCGGCGCTCATGGGCCGGTAATTAGTGCAGATTACAGGGTTTGCTAATTGTGTTTTCACAAACGCGCTGCCCCCAAAGCGGGCTGTTTATCTGGCAAAGCCTCGGCTTTAACGGGATTTGGGCCCTTAAGCCTCATAAATAAAATGATTAATCCGCTGGAGGTGGAGGAATTCAAAGTGGCACCGAGGAGGTGCCCGTGGGGACAGGGCTGGGGGTGCCCGGGGGTCTGGCTGCCCCCCAAAACCTGAGGGAGAACCTGGAGAGGGTTGGGGGTGCCCCACAACCTTCCAGGCTCTGTTTGGGGTGATCCTGGAGACCCTGGGAGATTTTGGGATGTCCAGGGAAACCCTGGGATCGCCCCAGGATGCTCCTGCCGTGCGTGAAAACGCCCTGGTCTCATTTTGGGGTGAGCTGGGAGTGATCCTGGGAACCCTCCGGAGATCTCAGGAGCCTGGGGGAGATCCTGGGGAGATCCTGGGGGACCCCAGCAAGGTCCTGGGGATCCCGGTGAGATCCTGAGGAGCTCAGGGGGATCCTGGGAAAGCTCCTGGTGACTCCAGGAAGGCTGGGGAGGCCCTGTGGGAAGATTTTCCCTGGAAAGATTCTGGGGATGTTGAGCGAGATCCTTGGGACCCGCTGGGAGAAGGTCCTGGAGACCCCCAGTGAGATCCTGGGAAATCCTGAAGAGACCCTAGGGTGAGAAATCCCAACGAGGCGACACAGAATTAAATGTAAATCTTTCATTTTATTTAACAAACACTATAATTTGAAGAATGTGTACTGAGGGAAAGAAAAATAATTTTCTTTTTTTTTGTTTTTTTGTTTTTTTCTTTTCTCTTTATAAAACAAAGAAGAAAAAAAAACAGGATATAAGAAAAAAAAACCAACATATGTACAGGAAGAGCTGGCCAACTCCAACAGAAAGCACTAAAACAAGCATGGTGTTTCCAAACAGTTGCTTGGCCTGGAAAAATTTAACAGCAATTAAATTAGCATAAAAATATTAGGAAAACAACTGGACTCTAAAGCTACTGTGCAGCCAGGGCCGCAAGCACAGAACTTTGTACAGTAAAATTAATTTGGGAGCTCTACCCGGGTTTTTATCAGTTGTTTTCATCCCCCTTTCCCACCCCTACCCCGTTTCAACCTGAAAACATATTGCTTGCAGCCAGGAAGAGAAGGAAAAGCAAAGCCTGGGGCCAGGGGTGTGGGTGTCCCTGTGGGAGAGGGACCAGGAGCTGCTCCGGGTCCCCCCTGCCAGACCTGGGGAAATGGGGGGGGGTCTCATCCCCACCCCCTGCACATTCCAGGCCTGCAGACAAACCAGGCAGGCAGGGAGAATCCCCCTCCCACAGGGACCCCCACCCCATGTGGGAGATGGGGGCTTGGGAGGAGCCCCCAGGCTGGCAGGGACCCCTCCTCACTGTGGGGAGGGGTCTTTGCTTTTGGGCAGGTGGCCAGCGAGGATTTAGGGCAGCTCCGGCTGGACCTCGGGGGCTTTTCCCTCCAGCTGGGATTGGCCACGTCTGGAATTTTCTGGAGTGAGGGGGAAGTGCTGGGAAAGGCACCAACACCCCCTCTCTGAGCCCCCCGGGCTGCTGGGGTGAGGGATGGAGGGTTTGGGGTGCCCAGAGCAGGGATAAGGGGGATGGAGGGTTTGGGGTCTGGCAGTGCCCAGCAGCACCAAGCCCCTCGGGGGTCTGAGGCCAGCACCGGGCCCAGGGACACCCCCTGCTCCTCGGCCAGCCCAGGGGCAGGGCCAGCCCCGCCGGGCTGTCCTGAGCTGCGGGGGAAAAGCCAGCGAGGTCCAGAGCAAACCAGAGCCGGGAGCAGCCAGTGGGAACAGCAGAGCCGGGACAGAAACTCTCCAAGACAAAGTCAAAAAGGTGACGCTTCGCAAACTCAAAAGCAACAACGTTTTGCCACCAAAGAGCACAGGAGGAGCTTTGGCTCCGGGGCCAAAGGCTGGGACAGAGAAGTGGAGGGGCCGGAGCGGCGGCAGCGCCCGGACCCACCCTCGCACCCGCCCGGGACGGGCTCGGGACTCAAAGAAACCTGAATTGGAGTTACCGAGGTAGTTGGCTAAAAACTGAGATTCCCCCACCCGGCATTTCTGGAAGGACCCCCTTGCCCTGCTCCTGCTTCGTGGTGCCAGGTGTGCCCAGGTGTGGGGGTGGCCTGCAGGTCACTGTCCCCATCCCAGGGTGTGGGGGTGTCCTGCAGGTCACGGCCGCCGCCTCCAGAACCAACCTCAACGAAAAGGGAATGCGCAGCCCTTGTCAGTCTTCAAAAACACCAAAGTTATTGCACTTCAAAAATACAACAGATCTGTGGTTCGAGCCCCCCAACCTCCCACCCGCCCCCCCCCCATGGCTTCTGCTCAACTAAAACGAGTCACTACTGCACAAATCTCTACACTTCCCTTGGGATTAGGTTAAAATTCCAAACGTGTCTCTTTACATGAGGTGCAGAGCTGCTGGAGCTCCGAGCTAGAACAGTGCCACTTCCAAGCGGACATCTCCCCCCGGCACCCCATGCCCCCGCTCCCACCCCTACAAACCCCCCAAATCCTCTCTGGGTCATACAACCCCCGCCCAGAGCCCTCCCCGCTCCCCCCTCCCGCCCCGCCCCGGACTCACACGTCCAGCAAAACCTTTAGATTAATTAAGGAATGGTTAATTAACAAGAGGATCAAACTGCACACGGCTTTGGAGATGCAGGGGTGGGTGTCCTGGAGGTGTGCAGGGGAGCTCCCCCGATCCCGGGATCCAGGTGAGGGAGGATCCTGCCTGGCTTAAGACACTTTCTTTACTTCAGGCTCCAGTTCAGGGTCAGGCTCTGAGTGGGGTCGTTTTCCAACCAAGAAGCAGCTCAATGGTTTTGTTTTGTTTTTTTGTTTTGTTTGTGTCGTTTTTTGTTTTTTGTTTTTTTTTTTTCTTTCTTTTTTCTCTCGTTTTAATGAGTAATTTGGAATAGGAAAGTCACAGGAGATGAGGGAGGGAGGGAGATGAGGCGGGAGAGGACGTTCTCCCCCTCCTCCAGTTTAATAAGCACCAGAGTATTCAAGTCTGTCCGTTGGGAATTCCGAGCTGTGGCTGCAGTCAGCAGGCAGAGACTAAACCTTTCTCGTAAGAGCAGCGTCGTTTGGGCTGGGGTCCCTCATCGTCATCATCCTCCTCCTCATCCTCCTCCTCGTCCTCCTCCGAGGAGGAGCTGTCCAGTGTTAAATCCACAACATCTGCCGGGGCTTTGCCGTTCTCGCCGGTGCCGTTGGGAGGGGCCAGGAGCCCGTTCACCTCCGAGGAACCTGCCACGGGGAGCAGGAGTGAAACCAGCCCTGTCCACTCCTGGCTGCTCAGCCTGGACAAGGGAAGGCTCCAGAGCCACTTCCAGAGTCTAAAGGGGCTCCAGGAGAGCTGGAGAGGGATTTGGGACAAGGGATGGAGGGACAGCACACAGGGAATGGCTTCCACAGCCAGAGGAAATATCAGGGAGAAATTCTTCCTTGTGAGGGTGCCCAGAGCAGCTGTGGCTGCCCCTGAACTCCTGGAAGTGTCCCAGACCAGGCTGAACAGGGCTTGGAGTAACCTGGGACAGTGGAAAGTGTCCCTGCCCACAGCAGGGGGTGGGACTGGATGATCCTGCAGGTCCCTTCCAACACAAACCATTCTGGAATTCTGTGATTTCCCCCAGGGGTTCCCAGCCCCTTTTTCCCCAGGGACACTCACCTAGAACCAGGATCGGACACTGAGGGCTGCAGCTCCGCTCCTTCTCGGCTCGGATGGGGCACCAGGAGCCATCCACCAGGTACTCGATCTCATCTGCATCTTCACATTCTGTCAGGATCTTGGAGAGGAGCCTGCAGAGGGGACAGGAGGAGCTGCCACACCCCTGGCAATCAGCAGGGCGTGTGCAGCGACCCTGGATCCAAAGGGAAGCTGCTGCTGGCTCCTGAGCTCGGAGCCCTCGGAGTCACGGACTTTATTCCCCGTAAAACCAGAGCAGTTCTGACGGTGCAAATCCACCCCAGCCCTTCCTGTCCACGCACCCAAAGCATCAACTACCAGCTTAATTAGCTGCAATTAAAGAGAGTTTTGCCTCTTCCCCCAGTTTCCCAGGCACTGCTTCCAGGCAGGTGGCTGCTGCCCCATCCCATGGGACATTCCCAGGGACATTCCCAGAAAGGCTTTGGCAAAAGGTGAGGTATCCTTTGGCTTTAGGAACTCAGCAGTCCAACAAGCAGCACTTCCCTTCCTTCCTAGTTTTATTTCCCAAATCTCCACAACAGCCACCAGAACAACATTCCTGCAACAGGAACACCATGAAAATACACCTGGAATGAGGCCCTGATTCCAGAGGAACTGGGGGCTTGCTTTATTCCCTGTGTCCCACTGTTTGCCTGGGATGTTCATTGGAAATGCAGCTCTGCCAGGCCTCACTCACTCCTGGACTTGAGCACTTTCCTTCAGGAGGAAGGAGAACTCCTTGTGGAAAGACTCCCAAGGTCAGGAAAACTTCGTGGCACCCCGCTGGGAGAGCCTCAGCTTTCCCCAGCTCCTGCAGGAATTGTTCCCACAGCCAATCCCACCACCAGCACAGCAACCACCAAGCTGCAGCTCCCAAAAAGCCGACAAGGCCCTGAGGATCCCAGACCTGACCAAGCACCTCCCTTCCTGCTTGGGAGCCTCCAGCTCTTTCTTGACTCCCAGCACCCAGCTGAGTGCCAGCTTCCCTCTCTCACTTCCAGGGAAGCTGGGAAGGACTTCACCCAACACAACTGGCATCAAACCCAGCCCTGAGCAGGGACAAAAGTCTGCTGAGCCTTCCCCAGGGACATCCTGCTGCTCCTGGTGCAGGACTCGGGCACGGCTGACCCCTGGGGGCTCCACAATGCCACCTCTCACAGCTTCCCCTCCATCTCCCCCTGTCAGAGATCTCCAAGGAACTGGATTTTCCTGTCAGGGCTGGCCAGGGGACAAAGCAAACAGGTTATCTGTGCTGAGGCTGCTCCGGGCTGCCTGGAAAGCCACAGCTCCTGGATCTGCCCCGGGCCCACAAAGGCAGCGACGCCGCAGGAAGCCTCGGTGAGCTGGGAACAGACTGGTCTGCTCACTTCCCTGTGCCAGGGGAGCTGGAGCCACCCCAAACACGCTCCAAACTCTCCCTGCTCCTGGGGGAACCTGCAGGGGAGGCCAATCATGCAGCCATGAGGGTGGAGATAATTTCCCAGCAGGCAGGAACCACGTGTGCTGTTCCACCGGTCCTTGGCCAGCACCACGAGGACGTCGGTGGTCCCAGTCCACAGAAGGTTCCCAGCATTTGGGGGCACAAAGCTGCTTCCAAACCCACCCCAAAAATGCTGCACCACAAGCCTGTTCCCTCCCAGCACATTCCCACTTGCTCTAACACACTGAAAGCAGAATATCATGTACCAACAGAATAAACTTTCAACAGTTTCAAAGTGAACTTCAACCAAGAGCTGGATGCTGCACCCAGTGGGGAAGGGGAAAGGGCAGAGAGGTGCAAAACTCACCCATCAATGATGAGCTGGTCGTAGGGGGCAGGTTTGTCACACACAGGGCACATCCATGTGGGCTTTTTCTCATTCATCTGTAGGTAGAAGACGGCATCAAAGCACTGCAGGTGTGCACAGGTCTCGGCCCGGCACGGCACCGACAGGCGCATCTTCACCAGCTGTGGGACCAGAGAGAGGAAATCAGCCAGGACACCCGGCAAGGAACCCCCAGAGCCCCTCAGAAGGAAAAACACTTGTGAGTTTGCAAAGCCGGTCTGGGAGCATGGTTTGGGTTCTTGACAAAACTGGACTAAAACAGAGCTGGAGCTCTTTGGTTCTGAAGCAAACTGGGAGACTTGGGGTTCCAGCGCCTAAAGGAGAGCTGGAGAGGGACTTGGGATGGAGGGACAGGACCCAGGGAATGGCTCCCACTGCCAGAGGGAATATTGGGCAGGAATTCCTGGCTGTGAGGGTGGTGGGCCCTGGCACAGAGCAGCCGTGGCTGCCCCTGGATCCCTGGCAGTGTCCAAGGCCAGGCTGGGGCAGCCAGGGACAGCGGGAGGTGTCCCTGCCCGTGGCACTGGATGGTTTTAAGTTCCCTTCCAAGCCAAACTCCAGTTCCAGGACAAGCCTGCAGGGTCTCACCGGACAGATGAGGGACACTCGGACCCCGGTGGTGGCGATTTCACTGTCTGGGTCCAGGCGTAGCTTCTCTTTCACTGCAGGGAGAGCAGAGGACACAGCATTTAACAAAACTCAGCCCTTGGCAACACTGTGCAGCACAGGAGAAGCAGCTCACCCCAGCCCTGGGGTGTTGTTGTATTTTTTACAGGGTGTGTTTGGATCGTTCTCCCTGCCAGGGAGGGAAGGAGCACATGGATTCAGCTCCAGCCTGGGCACAGAGGGGTAAATTCCCTCCTGATGAGGAGGATGGGGGAAATGTCTCTCCTCTGGCATTTCCAGTTCAGAGCAAGTCCCCCCAACAAGTGAGCAGAGTCAAACTGAGAGGGAAAACACATCCCATCCTTTTCCCATCAGGTTATCAGGCTCCTCTCAGCCCTGCTGGGCTGCCACTCCTCGGCCTCCACGCTGGCCACCCCCTTTATTCCAGAACATTCCACAGGAACCACAAACGGCCCAGAGGTACCCAGGCAGACAGCTCAGAGCAAGGCAGCCACGCACAACCAGGCACAGCAGCCATCCAGCAGAGATCTGGGAAGAATCAGATGTTAGGAAAGGAGGAATCCTGCCCCTGCTGCTGCAGCCTGAAAGGAAAACCCAGAGGAGCAGCAGGGAAATCAAAGAAAGCAGCAGATGGGCAGGTCCCACACCAAGGTGCAAAAATCAACAAAACGAGCTTTGAACTGCTCCCCGAGTCCTGAGGAGGAGCTGCTGCTCCCACTGTTGCTGTCTGCAACTGCCTCTGACACTTCCATCACCGTTTTTCTTTGGAGCAAGTCAAGCATTTCTTTTGACCTTTTCAGATCATAACAAGATGTCTCCAGACAATGAGGCTACATGCAGCTCTGCAACACCCAGCTTTAATTAGAGGCTGACTTCTCAGATGTGAAATTCCCAGGAGATTACAAGATTTGGGCTTGTTTTCCTCACATTAGGAGCCTTTTCATCCAAGCTTAATTTTTTATGAAGTTCTTTGTAAGAGCCTTCTCTGTGCATCAATTACTGGGAGACACGGGAAGGAGAATTTTCTAGGATGTCCAGATCAGGATTTTAGATCCAAAGCCATAATCTGTTCTCAGGTGATGTTCCTGTATTAAGTTCTACAGAATTTTATGCAAAGCAAGATGAGTCAGCAGTGAGATGTGACTGAAGCCAAAGGGCAGCTCCAGTGACAGGGAATTATTTGCAGAGCAGACCAGAGCTAGAAAAGCAAAGTTTAAGATCTCCTCAGGCTGGCCAGTTCTGGATATCCAAACAACTTCTAAGCACAAAAACACAAAGGAGCTAAAATAAGACATTGCTCTTATTGGGTTTTATTTAAAGTCACCAAATATAAGTGATCCCTGCCCAAAATCCAGGTGTCTGCAGGCTGGATATACCTGGAATCATCACCTTCCCTGTGAACTACCATCCACCTTCATTAGGGGCTCTTCATTAGGAACTGTAGTGACATGATAAGGGGGAATGGTTTGAAGAGAGGAAATTTGGCTTAAGATGTGCAGGAGAAATTCCTCCCTGTGGGGAGGCCCTGGCACAGGGTGCCCAGAGCAGCTGTGGCTGCCCCTGGATCCATGGAAATGTCCAAGGCCAGGCTGGACAGGGCTTGGAGTAACCCGGGATGGTGGAAGGTGTCCCTGCTGTGGCAGGGATGGCACTGGATGAGCTTTAAGGTCCTTCCAACCCAAGCTATCCTGGGATTCCCTGACAGTTTCTTATCCTTGGGAAGGAGTTTCCCAGGATCTGGACTGTTTTAAAGACCATCAGGATCATGGGGTCAGTTCTCCCACGCAGAACAAAACAGTGAGAAGGTTTTGTCCAGCAACATGAAAAACTGGGAATCTTCCACACTCATGAGCTCCAAGTCAAGAGTCCACCTTGGAAAAGTAATTCCCCTCATTTCCAGTAATGTTTTACATGAGCCTCACACCAGGAGGATTTACCTGAGTGGTTTGGAATAAGCATCTCTGGGGAGCATCTCTTCTCTGAAGCTCTCAAGGCATATCAAAGTGCTGCTGCTGACATCCCAGTGCCACCCCAAGGAGTCCCAGGGACTGGGGCAGCAGGACATTGTCACCGGGATCCCTCGCTCCAGGAAACCTCCTTTGGAAATCCCGAGGGTCAGTGCTGCTCATACTGACTCAGCTGAAGGCATGAAGCCCTTCCAGTCAAACGACACCGGCACAAATCCTAAATCCAACTACAGAGACACCAGAGCCACGGCTTTGGGGTGACCTCCCGCGGCTCACACACAGCTCAGCCAGTCTGTTCAGACAAAAAGTGGGGTTTGTACAGCTGCAGGGAGGCAGAGCTGTGAATGGTGGTGGTTACTCCCCAGCAGGCTGCAGACAGGCCCTTCCTGAGCCACTCACCCAGTGCTTTGCAGAGCTCCGGGTGCTTGATGCCGATGGTTTTCAACCTCTGCAGCAGCTCTGCCGAGGTCATCTGCCGCACCAGGTACAGCCCCACCGAGTAGCTCTGGGGAGAGAGGCAGGGGAGGATGAGGAGGCTGCTCTGGGCGCTCCCTGGCAGCTCTGGGCAGCTCTGGGCGCTCCCTGGGCAGCTCTGGGCGCTCCCTGGGCAGCTCTGGGCGCTCCCTGGGTGCTCCCTGGGCAGCTCTGGGCGCTCCCTGGGCGCTCCCTGGCAGCCCTGGGCAGCTCTGGGCGCTCCCTGGGCAGCTCCAGGCGCTCCCTGGGCAGCTCTGGGCGCTCCCTGGGCAGCTCTGGGCGCTCCCTGGGCAGCTCTGGGCGCTCCCTGGGCAGCTCTGGGCAGCTCTGGGCGCTCCCTGGGCAGCTCTGGGTGCTCCCTGGGCAGCCCTGGGCAGCTCTGGGTGCTCCCTGGGCAGCTCTGGGTGCTCCCTGGGCAGCTCTGGGCGCTCCCTGGGCAGCTCTGGGCGCTCCCTGGGCAGCTCTGGGCGCTCCCTGGGCAGCTCTGGGTGCTCCCTGGGCAGCTCTGGGCGCTCCCTGGGCAGCTCTGGGCGCTCCCTGGGCAGCTCTGTGTGCTCCCCGGGCTCTCACCTTGCCGTAGTTGCCCCAGGTGACCGTGATACGGTTGGTGGCCGCCGACAGGTACATGAGGTGGGTGAGGTTGATGGGCCTGCAGGGCCTCTTGGGTTCCACCCCGGGTTTGTTGGAGGGGTAGTAGCCCTAGGGCAGGAAGATTAAATAGAGATATTTATTTTTCACTCAAGGTACATCCACTCAGCCCCAGGTCTCGGGGATGGGGGGAAGGAGCTGAGTACAGCTGGAGCACAAAGTAAACAGGATGGAGCCTTTATACAGAACAGTTCATTAACAACATGGCTAATCCATTAAAAAATTAGCTTTAAACTAAGCAGTGCACTTCTACAGTGTGGCATTCATCAGGAAAGCACTTTCTTTCCATGTTCCACAAATTGTCCCCCCAGACTCCCCAAATTTTCCTCTCCAGTCCCCCAGTCCTCACCGGCACGGAGCAGTAGCTGTGGTTCACCTTGACGGCGATGTTGGGAGGGTACTGATCCTCCTGAGGGGAACTGGTGTCTGTGTAGCAGATTCTGGGCAGAAACAACACATCCCATAATATCCCAACACTCTGCACATCCCCAGCTCCCACAGGCCCCATCCCAATCCATGCTCCCTCAGCAGAGCCCATCCAGGTGGGACTCTGCCGTTTCTGCTCCAGGTTCAAAAGTGGAGTTTCAGACGCTCCTGTGAGGCCCAGGAACAAAAGGTTCACTGGAAATTCTCTCTGGAGCCATGAAATCCATGCTGGAACTCACTGGAATATTCCCTCCTCCCCTGCTCTGCCCCTGATGTTCAATGAGCCCAGCCCAGACCTACCTGAGCACCACCTGAACCGATTTCACACCAGGTTGCAACTCCCTGATAAATGAAAGAAAACTTCAAATCAATTATGCAAAAAAAAAATCCCTACCCCCAAAAAAATCACCCAAACCAACTGCCAGACTCAAGAACTTCAGTTGCTCTTATTTTTTAAAAATAGAACTTCAAAAAATTACCTCACAGAACTTTATTTAAATGGTACAATTCCCCCTGCAAGTATCAGTGGTCCTGTAATTATTATTTTTTGCCGTATGCACCAAGCTACAGCTTTTCTCTGGGTTTTTAAAACTGTTCAGGTGCCTTCTGGTGATTTGTCAGAATTTATAAAAACTGGGTTTTAAGGTCAGGTTTACCTGACAGTGTTCAAGACTCTCTGTGTTTAATTATTCAGCTGAAGCTCTTCATGCAAACCAAGGGACTGAATATTAAGGCCCCACTGTGAATATTGCAACCTCCATCAGGGCTATTCCTGACAGGATTTGAACCGGAATCAGGAAAGAAATGGAAAACACAACAAGGATATTTTACCAGGAGGCAAAATAACCAAGATATTCTTTCTCCAGCTCTTTATTTTATGATAAAGAGAAATATTCAAAGGTTTTATGTTGAATTTTTGGAGGAATTCTTCACGAAGTCAGCAGGTCAGCCAAGAGGAAACCTCCCTGCCTGCACTGCCACCTCTGAGGAGAGCCTTTGTTTGACTCAAAAGTTGCATCTGACAGAGGTCAGGGTAAATCCTAATCCGAGATGTTTCCTCGGGCAGTTCTTGCAGCCTCCTCCCCACCAAGGAAGTTTCCTTTCAGATGCAAACAGCCTCACACTCTGCCTTTTGAACCTGGCACAAGAGGAAGGGCTGCAGACACTCACAGCACCAGCTCAGCAGAGAATTTAGGTCATCGATGATTTCATCCCGATTTTCCTGCCCAAATGCACCATTCCAGAGGGAGGTTAGAGCAGCACAAGTGAAACTTAAGGACCTGGCTGGGTGAATTTGCAGCTCCCACTGCCCCCAAAGCTCTTTGCTGCACACAGGAGCAGCCTGATGTCCTCACACAAATCCTGTTCCCTTGCAGAGAACAAAAGCTTCCCCAGGCAGGGAACACGGAGGAATTATGGAATTGTGCAGCTGCATTTTCCTCAGCTGTTAATACCCAGTGAGGAGTACCTGGAATTTCTGATCAGCTCCACTTGTCTCGGTGTTAATGCAAAAATGCACGGACTTTCCTGAAGCTTCTCATTATTCTGTGGAACTGAGGAGGGAAGAAAAAAGTGTCCATCAAACTGAGAACAGCAGCTCTGAGCACGAGGTGATTGTTATGCTCTGTTTACCTCCAGGTCTTGTTTTTTCCCACACCCCAGAATTGCAGTTTTCACCTGTTTTGGTAATTCGGCTTTGATTAGAGCTTTGCTCACTGTTCAGACAACCACCACAGGCTTTGGATTTGATTTTTCTCTTTTTTTAAAGATTATTTTTCCTCCCCTCAAATAATTCAAGAGCCATCAGCTCACCACATCAGTGGTGTCACATCCTCAAGAAGCCCAAGAGGAGACCTGAGCCTGACACAAAAGCCCAAAACCAACCAGACTGAGCAGGCGGGTTCTGGAAAAGAAAGAAAACAACCCCAGCAACAAAAAATATTAGCTCAGATAATAAAAAAGCAACACAAAAAGCAGCTGGAAGAGACAAAACACAACTTCAAACCCCCTGACCTTGAGGGTGGGACAGCAGCTCACCCTCTGAGAGGCTTAAGAGAGCCCAGCATTAACTGGGGCCTTTTGCACACTGATAATTTTAAGATCAAGTGCATTTAATGTGGGGAAAAATGAAGCTTGAGACATGGGAAACTTTTGTTGCAACCCGTACTTCAACCAAACACGTTTTATTTTCAGTTTTGTGTCTCTAAGCAAAGTTCAGAGCCTGAGCTGCTGAAAGTCACGGGAGGAACACAGAGAGGAAGTGCTAAAACAGCTTTTTAAAAATTATTTACAATAGCAAGAATTGGGTGTTTTGCTTTGCCTGACTTCCATTGCACGGTTATTCAAAGCCAACAGGATTTCAGAAGGAGGAAAGTGCACTTTCCTATGAAAAAGAGGAGATGAAGGAAGGATAAAACCTCAGCAGCTCTTGGAAGACCTGGTGACAACTTGAGTCACACCAGGTGTTTCCCCTTTGGTCCCTTTTTTGCTTTAAAAATGCAAATGGAACTTGCAAAAATAAAATTTAAAAGTAAGAATTAAGATACCTCTGTGGAACTTTTTGTTTAGTTCTAGTTTCCTCCCAAATATCTCCTGACAAAAACAACCAGCAGAAAATAAAACATTTCACGAGGTATTTTTAGCAAGCGAAGATTGAGAAGGACAATAACAAAAAGTAACTTTAATGTTTCTGATTAAGAAACTGCCAATAAACTGAGTCCTGCTGATTGTTCAGCCAAAGACACAGCAAACCTGATTAGGAAAAGTGAGAAGCTGCTCGTGGTTTATTTTGCATTCCTATCAGCTCACTCGTCCTTTAGACAAAAATTAAATTGCTGCTGGAATAGAAACCCAAGAACTGGGAGGTGCAGCCTGGCCAGGTGTGAGACCTGAACATCTGCTGGTGGCCAGCTCCTCCTGGCTCCACAGAAACCTCTGCCAGCAGCAGGGAGATCAGCCAGGAACCCCGGCTGGCCCAGGGGAGGTGTCACCTACCAGGGCAGAGGCTGCCCTAACGAGCCCTGGCTCTGAGCTGATGCAGGGGACATTTAATGGCACCTCGGAACAAAATCTGGTAATCCCAGGGTGTATCCAGCCTCTGCTGTCTCGGGATGCTTCCACCTCTTGGAAATTTGTTTTCCTTCAAAATCCCATATTGGAATTGCTGACTAACACACATTTAACACTGAACAAACCATTCCTCACACTGTTATAATGTTTGAGCTTGACTCTGGCACTGCTCAGCTGTTTTGTCACAGCAGTTATGCCTTCAAATGAAGAAGAAATTATACAGAATCTGACTAATTAGACCTTTATCTTTTTGCTTCTGCACAATCAAATCTTTATCTATTTTCCCCCTCCAAGCCACAACAAATATCTTTTCAGCAAAGGCAAACCAGCTCAAATTGTAGAATCATTTGGCAGAGAATTCTGACATTACCACACGAATTTATGAGATGCTCAGCAGAACTCAACTTCTCTGTACACACTGAATTTGCTACCAGAACATTCTATTTAACATCAGTGAACAACATTCCCTGTTTCTCAAAACTAAAATAAAATCATTCTCCACACCCCAGGGAAAAAGCTCTTCTTCCAGTTTTACGAGTTACCCATCAAAACACACAGCACTACGTGCAAATAACTGTGACAAGCACCAAAAAAATGTCAAAAATACAGTTTGAGGGTCAAAAATACATCCTCTTTTATCCATAGGATGCTTCAGGTCAGGGATTTTTAGTGCTGAAAACCAGCATTAGTGTAGAATATGGCCCCATAATCCACAGGAACCAAACAAGGTGGGCTTCCAAGTTACATCCCAAAGTGACCACCACATGCCAGTCTGAGGAAAACCACAGGAGCACAGGATTTGGATTGGGAAGGACTTGAAGGATCATCCCATTCCATCCCACAACTTCCACTGCTCCAGGGTGCTCCAGCCTGGCCTTGGGCACTTCCAGGGCAGCCACAGCTTCTCCCTCCCTGTGCCAGGGCCTCCTCACCGTCACAGGGAAGAATTGCTCCAATATCCCATCTACATCTCTCCTCTTTTAGTTTGAAGCCATTCCCTCTTTCCCAGCACTCTCCTTTTCTGTAAAAAGCTGCTCTCCCTCTTTTGTCAGCCACCTGTAAGCACCGGCAAGCCCAGAGATAAATATTCCTCTGTAAATTCTGAGCATGGGGGGAGAGAGGGGGAGAGGGGAAAGAGAGAGAGGAAGGGAAAAGAGAGAGAGAGAGAGGGAGTGAGAAAGAGAGAGAGGGGAAAGAGAGAGGGAGATGGGAAAAAAAGAGAAGGGGAAAGAGACAGAGGGGGGAAAGAGGGGGGGAAAGAGTGGGGGGAAGAGAGAGAGAGGGGAAAGAGAGGAAAGAAAGAGAGGAAGGGGTAAGAGAGAGAGAGCTGAAGGAGATGGTGGGGGAAAAAGAGAGGGAGGAAAGAGAGAGAGAAGGAGGAAAGAGAGAGAGAAGGAGGAAAGAGAGAGAGAGGGAGGGAGGAAAGAGAGAGAGGGAGGGAGGAAAGAGGGAGAAAGAGGGAGAAAGAGGGAGAAAGAGGGAGAAAGAGGGAGAAAGAGGGAGAAAGAGGGAGAAAGAGGGAGAAAGAGGGAGGAAAGAGGGAGGAAAGAGGGAGGAAAGAGGGAGGAAAGAGGGAGGAAAGAGGGAGGAAAGAGGGAGGAAAGAGGGAGGAAAGAGGGAGGAAAGAGGGAGGAAAGAGGGAGGAAAGAGGGAGGAAAGAGGGAGGAAAGAGGGAGGAAAGAGGGAGGAAAGAGGGGGAAAGAGGGAGGAAAGAGGGAGGAAAGAGGGAGGAAAGAGGGAGGAAAGAGGGAGGAAAGAGGGAGGAAAGAGGGAGGAAAGAGGGAGGAAAGAGGGAGGAAAGAGGGAGGAAAGAGGGAGGAAAGAGGGAGGAAAGAGGGAGGAAAGAGGGAGGAAAGAGGGAGGAAAGAGGGAGGAAAGAGGGAGGAAAGAGGGAGGAAAGAGGGAGGAAAGAGGGAGGAAAGAGGGAGGAAAGAGGGAGGAAAGAGGGAGGAAAGAGGGAGGAAAGAGGGAGGAAAGAGGGAGGAAAGAGGGAGGAAAGAGGGAGGAAAGAGGGAGGAAAGAGGGAGGAAAGAGGGAGGAAAGGGGAGAAAGAGGGAGAAAGAGGGAGGAAAGAGGGAGGAAAGAGGGAGGAAAGAGGGAGGAAAGAGGGAGGAAAGAGGGAGGAAAGAGAGAGAGAGAGGGAGGAAAGAGAGAGAGAGGGAGGGAGAGGGGAAGGAGAGAGAGAGGGAGAGAGAGGGGAAGGAGACAGTGGGTGGAAGAAAGAGAGGGGGTAGAAAAGAAAAAGAGAGGGAGAGGGGGAAGAGAGAGAGAGGGGGGGTCCTCACCACCCTATCCATCAGCCTCTCCCACCCCACGACTTTAGAAATCCCCTTAAAACCACAACTTATTTCCCAACACAAACACCCTCCCCCACCCCGAAACTCACCTAACTCTGTGGGCTTCAGCAGCTCGTCCAGCGTAGTGTAAAAGGGCAACTTGACCAAGCGAACCTCGGGCTTGGCCACTTTGGGGGGCAGCCTGCCCAGTCCGTTCAGGTATTTGCCATAGAGGGCAGGGTAGTCGATGCTGGCGGCGGGCAGGGGCCGGGGCACGGCGCCGCCGCGCTCGTAGGACGAGTGCAGGGCCAGGGCCTCGGCGCGGTGCGGCGCCGGCGGCGCAGCCACCTCCGAGCCCTTCTTGTTGTAGCGAGTCTCGTAGAGCTCCTTGATCTTCTTGAACACCTCGGGGCTGCAGTCGAACTGGACCAGCTGCAAAGCTCGGGTCACTAGCTCGTGTTTTAGTCCGCTTTTACTCCTGCCAACAAAACCCAGCAACATCTGAAGATCTGAGACTCGGAAACTCATCACCATGTTCTGGGGGATAAAAAATTAAAAGATGTTCTCATAGTTATAAAAGGCAAAGGTTTAGTTGTCACTTTATAGCTACAAGGCAAGATATTCAAAATTTCCCCTCAAAAAAAGACCCCAAACCTGTCCAAACCCGCTGCTGTCAACCGATTTTGGCTCCCATTTCTTGTTTGAGCAACGCAAACGCAGAGATCACCCACTGAAATATCACCTGAAGGACAAAACCACCAGCACAGTCATCAAATGACTCAAAAATCACTCGGACAGATGCTAAACATCCCCAAGACAGCCCAGCTGGAAGCAGGAGTGACCTCAAAGCTCTAAACCAAGAGGCCTCACTTGTGAAAGAGCTCATGAGCTCCTTCAGCAGCCTGAGGCATCCCGAATTCCCAGAGAAACACGGAAAGCTTCATCCCAAATGGTGTCAGTGCAAGGCACAGGAAGGAAATCAAAATTAGTTAGGTGAGGCTGAGGTGAACTGGGGCCACCAATCCTGGATTTCTGGATGGGAAAACCCCTCCAGAGTCCTCCCTACATGCAGAGGATCTGTAAAAACCCACATATTTTAGAGCATGCAAGGACATTCAGATTATTGAAGGGAGCAGAGTGTTCCCAGGAGAGCAACGCCAAGCACTTCCCTGCGGTCCCAGCCAGGAGCTGCCTTGGTGCAGTTATCAATTTCAGTGTCTGATAAGCAGCAAAACCCAGCTCAGCCTTCCAAAATTCCCTCGCTGTGGCAAGTCTGGCCTGTAACTGTCAGCAGAGTCAAAGGCCACAAGGCAACTTCCCACCAGGAACCAGGAATTCTCCCTGCTAAACCCACAGCTCCAGGCTGGCATTTCAGCTCCCTAAACACCAAACAGCCTTGGAATTGCAAAACAACAGCTTATAAATACACAGCTTAGAAAATTCAAGTTGCTCTGGTAGATATCCACTCCACAGCCTCCCTGGTTCGTGGGGAATATGGGAATTCAAGAAGAAACCCCACCAAAAAAATCCAGTAGATCTTCCCCAGCCTCTACCCCACTCTTGAATTAGTAATTAATAAAAAAAGCATAAAAGATAATCTAACAATCTTATCATTTCCTGGAATAAACCAGCTACAGATTTTTTTTTTTTTAATTACGAAAGCTACAACTGTTTCCAGAAACATTTCACAGCCACTTTTGGATGTGTGGGAATTAAACGAGAGAGAAAATGCCATTTGATTTTCTCCTTTTCCCTTACATATGTCATTTAATCAGAAAACCCAAAAGCTGTTATGTCACTGTCTGTAGTTAGAACTTCTGGGAGTCGTGATGAGTCCCAAAATATCCCAGATGAAGGGAAAAAAAGACTGATGACTAAAGAGGAGAGAAAAGATGTTTAATTGCCAGAAAGTCAGAATTTCAGAGCCCTGGATTCATGGTGCTGCTCCACCAGACACCACCTGTGAAATCCTGGAGAAATCTACTTTGTGCCTCAGTTTTCTTCAACTAAAAAAAAAGAATCAGGATCATTAAGGTTGGAAAAGACCTCCAAGATCATCAAGGCTGATGAAATCCCACCAGGATCATTAAAGTGTGCTAGGAAATGGAGAGAGTCATGTTGTCCCTGAGGGATTTGAGGCTAAAAGGTGCATTTGGAAAGATAAATTCATCAAGACACAGCAGCAGGAGGTACCAGGGCATCCCAGGAGCACAGGAATTCCTCCTGGAGCACCTCACCGGGAGTCTTGGCCTGGAAAGCGGAGCGGGAGTGCAGAGTTCCCATTTTGAAGGGATGAAGGCCCGGCAGTGTGATGAGATTTGAGCAGCGACACAACAACAAACCCCAGACAAAGCAAACCGAGAGAGCTCCGAGAGCTGCCCCGCGGCACAGGGAGAGCACATGGATCGCCGCGATTCCCGACACTCCCGGCCGCTCCTGCTCGCAGGAACGCCGGTGTGGGACGGCTCAGAGCCCGCAGACCCCTCTGCGGCCACCGCGGTGCCCGGAGCGCGTTCCCGCTCTGGAATTGCAGAGACCCCCCTAAAAAAGCCTCTCCCGGTGGGATTGCTGCGGCCACCCTGCCCCATCCCTGCCGAAGGGCTGCTCCTGCGGGCGGGGAGCGCTTCCCGGGGAGCGTCTCCTCGGGAACACCGCCGGGGAACGCGGCCGGGGCTCCCCAGCCGCGCTCGGCACCGGCCGGTCCCGCGGAGCCGCCATCCCGAGGGCAACGGGAGAGGCTCCCGCTGTTCTGCAGGGCACGAACGGCCTGGGGAACACAACCGCGAGCGTGGCTGCGCTTCCCCCGGTCCCGGAGGGGCGCGGGGCCGCCGCTGCCCCCGGCAGTGCCCGTCCCAGCGGACAGCTCCGCACCGAGCCGCTCCACCCCCGGAGCGGCACCGAGACCGGCACCAGCGAGCCTTCCCCGCGGCAATTTGGGGGGAAAGCCACCGCGGGGGCAGCCCCGAGGAACGCGGGCAGCACCGCGGCCCGGCTCGGCCCGGTTCGGCGCCGGGAGGTCCGGCGGGGGCTGCGGCCCTGAGGCCGGGGCGGGGCAGTCTCTGAGGTAAAAAAGGCGAAGGGGAGGCCCCGGAGCGCCGCCCCCACGGTTCGCAACACCGCCCCCACGCCGTGTGCCCGCGCCGGGAGCCGCCCGGTGGCGGCCGGGCCCCGCGGGCGGGGCGGCGGCGCCGCTTCCCTCACCTTCGCCTCCACCAGCTCCGCCGCCATCTTGGGCCTGCAGCGTCCGCCGCGCCGGCCGCCGCCGGGTCACGTGACGGCCGCGCGCCGGGCGGGGCGGGGGGACGGGGAGGGGCGGGGCCGCCGCCGCGAGCGCCGCCCAATCGCCGCGCGCGCTCCGGCCACGCCCTCTTCCTCCCGCACGGGCCACGCCCCGCCAGGCCACGCCTCCCCCGCGAGAGTCTTAAAGGGGCCGCGCACCGCGAACCGGAACGGCGGCGGGACCGGCGGGAGCGGGGATGGGAACGGGGATGGGAACGGGAATGGGAGCGGGGATGGGAACGGGGATGGAGGCGGCCCCGCGGGCACTGCGGGACGGGGACGGGGAACGGGTGGGCAGGCAGTGGGTGCTGCCCTCAAGATGGCAGCAGGTGGGTGCCCCGGGGCAGGGCACGGTGGGCTCAGTGCGGCCCCGGTGAGGAGGGAAGCGTTGGGGGGATCCAGGAGAGGAAGGGATGGGGATGGAGATGGGGATGGGGATGGGGATGGGTCCCGGTTCCCGGGAAAGCGCTGGGCAGGGGGGGTCTCCTGGCCAAAATTCGCTCCGTGGCACCGATGTCCCAAAGACCCCCAAGCTTTCCTTCTCCGGTCAGTGTTTGTGTCCCCTTCTGCGACTGAACCCATCGCTTATTAAAAATACCTTCCATATAACAATAATAATAGTATTAATGATAATAATAATAAATACATTGTGGTTTGCAGCTTTTTCCCCGATAGCAGCTCCCATCTCTGCTGTGGGAGCAGGGACACGAGCCAGGGAATAGCTGCAGCTGTGCCAGGGATTTGGGATGGAGCTCAGGGAAAGGTTCTGCCTCTGAGTGTGGTGGGCACTGCCCAGGCTCCCCAGGGAACAGGAACATTCCCAACCCTGCCGGAGCTCCAGGAGCCTTTGGAGAACACTCTGGGACAGGGTGGGATTGTTGGGGTGTCTGTGCAGCGCCAGGAGTTGGACTGGATGATTTCTGGGTAACTCCAGTGTTTGGGGTGAAATGCTGCATTGGGAAAGGTCTTCCAGCACTGTCCTCTCCTTGCCATCAACCCCACATACTAATTAAACAAAAAGGCAATTAACAGTTTCTCAGGAAGAGCAGGATGCTCATCAGGTTTCCCACTTTTCCCTTCTAGGCTGGCAAAAATCAGGGTTGGTGCTAAAAATCCCTCAGATTGCTATGGAAACCCCAGAGGCCGATAATTCATCCTGTCATGGTGGGAGAGCCAGGCCCAAATCCATCCCGGGTGCAGCCCCATGGCCATCCTGCCTGTCCCTGCCTGGGAATGTGCTGGGAATTCGGGAGCTGCCAGTGAGAGAAGTGGGATTGTCCAGCATGGAGAAGTTTTTGGGTGAGCTCATTGCGGCCTTCAGGACCTGAAAGAACCCCACAAGAAATATGGGAAGAGAGAATTTGGAGAAGGGGTGGAAGGACAGGAATACAGGGAATGGCTCCCACTGCCAGAGGGCAGGGATGGATGGGAGATTGGGATGGAATTCCTGGCTGGGAAGGTGGGGATGGGCCGGGATGGAATTCCCAGAGCAGCTGGGGCTGCCCCTGGATCCCTGGCAGTGCCCAGGGCCAGGTTGGACCAGCCTGGCATGGTGGAAGGTGTCCCTGCCATGGCACTGGATGTTCCTCCATGTCCCTTCCGACCCGAGCCGTTCGCTCGTTCACTCCACCATTCCTGTCGGTTCTAATGCGATGAGGGCGGCCCCGTGCCACCGGAACCGGCGGGCGGCTCCGGCCGGTGCCGCTCCCGATGCGGATCCCGGTGCCGCTCCGGTGCTGCTCCCGGTGCGGATCCCGGGGCCGCTCCCGGTGCGGATCCCGGTGCCGCTCCCGGGGCCGCCGCGCTCCTCCCCGCCCGCAGGGGGCGCTGCGGCACCGGCCCGCCCGGAGCATGCGCACTACGAGCCCCCTGCGGGACCGGGGCGGGGCGGGTCCCGGACCCACCGGGGTCCCGGACCGCTGCCTGCCACCAGGCTCGGCCCTACCGCCTTCTCCTAGCGGCCGAGCCCCCGTGCTCGCCTGCCGCTCGGTGATACCGCTCTGAGGGCGGCCTCACTGCTCCGAGCCGGTTCCTACACCGGCAGCGGGAGGGGCGGGCTGTTCCCCCGTTGCAGGCCGGGCGGGGCGGGGCTGCCGCTGCCGGTCGCTGTTGCCCCGGTGTCGCCTCGCTGTGGTCCCGGTGCAGCCCCGGTGACCCGCACGTGGTGCCGGTGAGGCGGAACATCCTCCCGACCATAGAGCGCGCGGGATAGAGCGGCGCGGCCGCGCACGCGCTCCGCGCCGGCCCCGCCCCCCGGCGGCGCCGCCCTATAAGAAGGCGCCGGCTGACGTCAGCGCTCTCTTCCGCCCGCTCTGCGCTCGCCAGCGAGACAGGGCCGAGCCGCCGCCATTGCCGTGACCCCCCCGCCCCGCAGCATCCGCCGCCATCCGCCACCATGGTGAGCCCCCGCCGCCCGCCGCCGCTCCCGGCGGGATCATCGACCATCACGCTCCCCGTATCGCTGGGGATGGCGGTTCCGCGAGCGCCGCCGGTCACACGGCGGCGGCTGCGGCCTGTGCTGCCGGGCTGGGCCGCGGCTGCGGGGAGAGGGTGGGGCGGCGGGAGGGGGCCGGTCCGGGCGGCTGTGACACCGGCGGGACTGCCGGGGCCGGTGCCGGGGCCGCCGTTGTCCCGCGGGGCTCCGGAGCGCTGATGTGGCAGCGCCGGGCTCGGGGCGCTGCGGTGCCGGCCGTGCCTTATGTAACGCTGCGGTCCGGGCTGGCACCGGCACCGGGCCGGGCTCGCTTTGGGGGCGCCCTGCACCCGCTGGCACCGCGGCTGGAGGGACAGCGGGGCAGGGAGGGGTCGGTGCCGCAGCCCCGCTGCGCTGCCCTGGCTGCGGGTTGTGTTGTCACCCGGGCAGAGGTGGTGTCACCGCGATCGTGGCAGGTGTTTATGGGAGAGTCGGCTTCCTTGGAACTGCCAAAGCTGTTTTTGTACACGCTGAGTCCCCCTCCTCCCCTCCCTCAAGGTGAACTTCACAGTAGACCAGATACGGGCCATCATGGACAAAAAGGCCAACATCAGGAACATGTCGGTGATTGCCCACGTGGACCACGGCAAGTCCACGCTGACTGATTCCCTGGTGTGCAAGGCCGGGATCATCGCCTCGGCGCGGGCCGGGGAGACCCGGTTCACTGACACCCGCAAGGACGAGCAGGAACGGTGCATCACCATCAAATCCACGTGAGTGCCCTCCCCTCGGGCTCCTGCTGCTGCCTGGGCTGAACTCGGGGGATTGGGCTCCTCCAGGAGGTGGAAGGAGGTGCTGTTGGGTTTTGGTCTAGTCCAGAAGCTCATGTCGTGTTCCTGAGGGTCTTGAATCCTGGGGGTCTTGAATGGTGGAGCAAGTGTTGACTGGCTTCTGGTCAGTCATGGAGCAATTGTTTGCTGGGCACTGGGGAAGCAGGAGCTTCACCCTCCCAGTTTAGCACCAGGATTGTTGGATGTCCATGGATGCGGTGTGGAGACTCTTGGGAGCATCTCTGGGGATGCACCTGGTGGCTGTGCTGCCACAAGGAGTGTGATGACTCTGAGGGGCCGGAAAAGGGGTGGAGAACATGGTTGGGATTAGTAGGAAAAGCCTAAATCCACAATTTGGGAGTGGAGTCCTTTATGGGTGCTGGAGAACTGCAGGGAGTTAGGGGAGGTTTGGATTCTGGAGAATGTTATGGTTTAGGAAGGACAGGTTGTAGCCTGTGCTTCTGTTATCTTGCACACTGACCTCTCTGGAATACACTTCAGGAAATCCTGGAGCCCAGCATTTAGGTTGGAAAAGATCTCCAAGGACACCAACTCCAACCTGGAGCAGAGCACAGAGGGTGCCACCTCCAGTGGTGGGGCAGGGATGTTTTGTGGGGCAGAACATCTCTGAGCTTTAGGGAGGAAATGACTCTGAGCACAATCATAATTTTAATAGTTTCTGCTTTCTTTCAGAGCCATTTCTCTGTTTTACGAGCTCTCTGAGAACGACTTGGCCTTCATCAAGCAGAGCAAGGATGGTTCTGGTTTCTTGATCAACCTCATTGACTCCCCTGGGCATGTGGACTTCTCCTCAGAGGTCACTGCAGCTCTGCGAGTCACTGATGGTGCCCTGGTCGTCGTGGACTGTGTCTCTGGTGAGGTTTTCTGCAGCTGGAGAGCGTTTTGGGGAATTTGGAGGTGGGGATAACTCCTTGCTAACTCTGTGTGTTTGGCAGGCGTGTGTGTGCAGACAGAGACTGTGCTGCGTCAGGCCATCGCCGAGAGGATCAAGCCTGTGCTGATGATGAACAAGATGGACCGGGCGCTGCTGGAGCTGCAGCTGGAGCCAGAGGAGCTGTACCAGACCTTCCAGCGCATCGTGGAGAACGTCAACGTCATCATCTCCACCTACGGAGAGGGAGAGAGCGGCCCCATGGGCAACATCATGGTGAGGGGTTGGATTGAGGCGCTTCGAGAGGGAGCAGCTCCCTCCTGAGTGAGAATTCCCTGTCCCAGGTGGAGGACAGAGGGATCCTGAGGGTGCCTGAAGTCCCAGGCTTGGGATGGCTTGGGGCTCTCGCTGGCTCCCCTCCCAAATTTCCTGTTCAAGGCCTGAGCAAATAAAGGCTGGGATTGTTGCCCAGAGCGGCTGTGGCTGCCCAGTCCCTGGAAGTGCCAAGGCCAGGCTGGACGGGGCTTGGAGCAGCCTGGGATCACGGAAGGTGTCCCTGCCTGTGGCAGGGTGGAATGGGATGGTCTTTAATGTTACCTTCCCACCTGGGAACCTTACCATGCTGGGTTCCTGGGAAGGGAGCAGGGCTGTGGTGTCGGGTTCTGAGGAGAAGCTGGAAGTGTCCATGCCTTCCTGATCCTTCTGGGAAGGATGGGAATCCTTCCTGCACGTGAACCTGAACACACACCTGGTGGGAGTGGAGGGAAACCAACCCACCTCTGTGGTGCAAAGCTAAAACGGTGCCTGTCCCAGACCTCGGAGGTGGTCACTGGGACAGAGTTCCTTCAGAATCTCAGTGTCCTGAAGGTCCATTTTGTACTGGG